TGACACGGGGCCCGAGCAAAAAGGGGCCACAACCAAAAAAAACACCCTGACCACTGGAGACACACTGCGACATGACATCAAGCCCAAATAGCAGTTTGCTCTGACATGCTTTCTTGGAAAGACCGGCGGATGGATGGGCTCCTCCCAAGACAGCACGTTGGAGTTTTTGGGGCTCGGGGAGCTCATAATTTCCCACCAGCACCGGATTCTCGTCTGCTATGGGTTGTGCTCCTGCTGTTACATGGGCTTTGTCTTGTGCTCTCAAGAGATGACCACTGAAGGCTGAGTTGTGATTTCCTTTTCCGTTACTGGCAGAAGTTTTTCGAGGTTCTCCATGAGGCCCCACGCATCGCAGTATCCGATAGGAGCCGTGATGAGTCTCCGAGCCGTCTCATTGACTTTTCGCAGGACATGGCCAAGCAGGACTTCGCTTCCGTGGTGATCATGTGTGATTCATCCCCGAAGGGCAAGCTAGACGCATGTCGCCTGCACAGAGCCCTGGACCCGTGCCTCGAATCAGCTTCGTGCCGAGGGCTCATGGTTTGGCCGCAGTATCCAAGGTCTGGTGCCCGGTTCTCTATGCCGGCGGCACCGCCGTGCTGTCTCCGCTTCAGAGACTGTCCAACCTCTTGCCGTCCACGGCGAGCAACGAGGTGAAGATGGAGGAAGCTCAGAAATGCGCCGATGGCTTCGCCGCCGTGGAGAAGGATAAGGTCAGCAAGACGGTCAACGCCAGGATGTTTCTTGATGTAATGGACTACTAGGCAGCCGAAGTGGGGCTACAGGAGCGGCCTTGTTTTTGAGATTGCATCCGAGGCCCCGGATATTGTCACGGATCAAGCAAAAACGCTTGTCGGCCCGTGAAGAATTGAAAGCCGTTCTTCACACCCTGTCCTTGGCTGGTCTGGAGATGTGCTGTGAGAGACCTCTGCGGCCCCGGAACACGACCCAGCAGGAGACGCGGGAATGCCAGGGCGGGCGGCCGTTCTTGTGCCACCCGACGAGTGGCGAAGCCGAGTGGGATGTCCTGCAGCCTTCGGAGAAGAAGAAGCTTGGGGTCATCCTGTCGCCAGATGAAGGCGGACCTTTGTGGTCGGCCTTTATGTGGCTGAACACGAAGGGATGCAAGGTCAACTTCATCCGAGATGAGCTGCAACTCTTCTGCACTGTTTGGAGAGGTTGTGAGATGCTCCTGCCCACAGAGATTGCCTTGCCGCCGCAGCTACAAACATGCTTGCTGCTTTGTAGCTCCGGGATATCTGCTGGCTTGCAGGCACAAGCTGCAGAACTGTTTCTTGCGGGCTTTGCACGCCAGCCCCAACGTCAGACGTAGCGATCTCAGTTGAAAAGAAAGCTGATTGATGCCTTCCCAACATCTCTGGTCCCTAGGCATGGTGAGTCTCACTGGCTGGTTGATGAAAGCTCGGAGAGCTCCTTGGAAAACCTGCGGCATAGGCAGCACATGGGCCGAAAGCGGCCAAAGGTACCTCCGCTGCGCAACTCGGCGAGAGATTTAGTGAAATTTAGTGATTCTGGCCCTGTTGCTTGCGACAAAGTTTGTACCAGTGGAAAATAGCATCTCCAACCAAGGCTTCCGAAGACGACTGCTTGCAGCAACTGTTTGCAGGCAGCATCCTACGGGAGATCCTGGGCTGCTTCAGGGTACTCGTGTAACTGCACGCATCATGGCTCGTCGTGCTGTTTGGGTGATATGAGCACGAGTCCTTCACCTCAAGAGCCGGAGTCAGGAACGGAGTGCCGTCCCTTGTCGAAGACAGACGGGCCTTTGAGAGAACCTGCGAACTCATCGATAAAGCTACGAGGCACCCCGTCTGCAAGTTTCCACAGTGTTGAACATGTTGGTCGACACGGTAGCAGATTGCCGAGGTCTGTCACCGGGCTCTACGACAATGGTCGATGGATGAGTTGGGCCCACAGTGCCCGGTCCTTTCGCAAGATCTACTCATCGACGCTTTTGCTGTTGCACTGGACTTGTATGGAAGCCGCTCGGCTTCATTCTTCTTGAGTTCTGCATGCATTTCTTCACAATTCCTCCTGCCCGAGTTTGGACGAGCAGCGACGTTGCCGAAACTGAGGAAGGCCTGAACCCCTTTGCTCCCAGCACGGCACAGACCGGCCAGAATGGAGAGAAGTACGATAAAATCATCGATTTGTGTGTGAGAGACTCTCGGCGGAATAAGCAGGAATTGCAGGTGCCTGTAGTAGTCCCAGCATACTCGAAATGAATGAAGGCATTGGTGGATGAACACTCCCACATGCTCTTCGAGTCTCTACAATTTCTATTGCAGATTTTCTGTGAGATGGGAATCGTTCTGGCATCTCGGCTGGACGCTGGGCACTTGAAAGCACTTGTTCTGTTGTCTCCCAAAGGCAGCCTGAGTCAACATGTCATCTAAGCAAGACCACAAGTCGGAGTTGGGCACGCTCCACGCCCATACCTTGTGGTGCCAGACAAGCATGAACGGCCGACTGTCGCGGCTGCTTCGGGAAGCACTTAGCCCCAAGTGCTTGGACGTCCTCGACCTCTCTGCCGACGTGCACGACGCCGTCTCCGATGGTCAAGAAGGAGCAGATGCTGCCTCTAGCCTGGTTATTACACGTCCGTCTGTTGCAGTTCCTATGAATCGCAAAGTCCTTGCTTTGCATGCTGCAATCTTTGTCCGTTGGATATTTCGAGATAAGACTTCGTCAAGGATGCCTCGAATTGGTACCGTCCTTACGCAAGGGAAGTCTTTGTCTTGGCCCTAAATAATCGCAAGCGATCTCCGGTCAATATTGCAGCTGCATAGGATGCCTTATTGAGCCGGGTGGCTGTTAGACCCATTCCCGCATCATATTTTCAATAGGAGCTTCCCTTACAAGTAAGCGACCTCGTTGCTCTGGAAACCCACAGATGAGTTCACCTGAGAAAAAGTCTTTTCTGCATGACTTGAACTTGTCCGCATGAAGAAGTGGCGGCATCAGATTGGGTAACTTGCAATCCACCGGTGGGCAAGAAGTTGGATCTTTCCAGGGTGCTTTAGCCTTTTCCAAGTCGCAGTCTCCAGCTGTAGTGCACATCAGAAGTTGCAATATGTGTTAAGCAAGCAGACAGCCAGGCAAACAGCAAGCAGGGGGCATCTTCTCGGAACCTCCCGTGTACACATGTCTTGTTTGAGTCAGCACAGCTGAGGAAATGGCCCTCATGTTGACGGCCTACTGAAAGAAGCCACCGGCAAATCTGCGCACATGCACAGCAAGCAGAGCGAAAACATCATGAAGGGGCTGCTTCTCGCACACAGGTATCTTGGATGCAGTGGAATTTCGTGTTGCACATTGGTGCGAGCGGTGCTGTCCCTTTGCTACAGCTAGTGATTGCACCGCCGTGGAAGACAGGCAAGGCCTGGACATGGAAATTGCCACGAAGAGCTTTTGGGTGCCGATGCTTTGCCAGAAAGGAATGCTGATCAGTGTCAACAAGCAGTTTTACATCTGCTTGGGCCCGACGCCCGCAGTGGCATACGCTACTCGTCTGATGGTAGATCCAAGAACGCCCCCAGACAACTGAATCACTTTGTCCATGGGCCCCATAAGTCTGCACCAAGGCACACGTTATTGGGTGTGTCTAGTCTAGACTTTATGCAGACGTAAAGGCCAAATTCTGCTGCCAAGGTTTTGCCATTGCAAGAGATTGGCTTTGCATTCAATGGCCCCCTGCCAGCCGAAGACCTGGACGAGAGCCAGGTCCCGATCGACAGTGGCAAGAAAGAGCTATCGGGCGACCCTCTGAAAGAGGGGGAGTCCGTTCGAGCACTGGCTGTCCCCTGCTCTTCGAAGCTTGTTTTGACAGCAGGCAGTCTGCTGTGTCCAGACTTTCATTTTATTCACTGAGACATATATCCATGACTGTATATACATATACTGACAAGTTTTGACATATGGCTATGATGATGCTTTAAAGCATATTTCCGCTGTCGCAGCCTGAGTTGCTCAGGACACAACCGGTGCAGACACTCCTCCTGAAGCTCTCGGAGGCTGCAATGCAATATTTTCAAGACAGCACTTCTGTTTAGAAGAGTGCTGGCTCCGTGCTCCAAGGTTCGGTGCTTCAAGTACTCGCTTCACGTGGCAGTCGGCTCCTGGACCGAAGAGCTGGACTGCAACGTGCTTCTTCGCAGAGCCATGCAGTCCGTGCCTTTGATCGTGCGGCTTGTGGAAACCGGCGAGGTGATCAAGCTGACTGCAGAGTGCTTGAGCCAGGCTCTGGAGGCCTACGGTGCCAATGTTCGCAAAAACACGACGAAGACCCAGAAGATCAGGGCAATTTGCAAACTTGGCATCGTTCAGCAGCACGTGAGCCAGGCCTGTGTGGAGACGGTCTTGCAGACTTGCCAAGATTTGGACGAGAAGAGACGCAAAAGGACTGGATCCAAGTCCCAGCAAGAGGATGACGGCAACTCAGATGAAGATGAGCTGGACGAGGCCTATCATTTCGCAACAAATGTCAAGTAAGAAAGAAGCACGAGTATGTACGAATCTACTCAACCCAGCCATCATAGGGGCGGCTACTCCGCCTCATTATTCAGGTGCAAGACTTGCTCATCGAGAGGGATCCAGCATGGGCGGCTGCTGAGGATTTGCTGGACAAGCTCGAGCAGACCCATGTCAGCAAAGAACAGGGAAATTAAGTCTGTCGTGATCTGGTTTCAGATGTTTTGAAGTGGGCAATGCAGCCATGTCTAGATGATGCATCATCTTGCTTTGAGACCTGGTTCCAGGGCACTTCGAAGTGTCCTCATTTCTATTCTCCATGCCCTTCTTGTATTCATTCATTGCTGCACAGGAAGAGAAGCAGCGAGATGCTGATCAGACATCTGGCGCCGAGATGCCAGTGGAGGACAGAAGAAAGCAAACATGTATTTAATTGCTGTTGGCAGATAAATTGGTGCAATGCCTACTGCAAGCAGTTACGCATGGTTTGGCTTTGCGGGTTTCCCTAGGGCCATGTCACACGACGATGGGCGACAGCACAATCAAACCATGCAGGCATCAGCAGCGACGAGCAGCGAGGATCCGGGAGCTGGGATGGCTGCAGCCAGGGAAGAGAAGAGCCGCCGCCTTCTCGTGACCACACGCACGATCCCGCAGTTCTTGAAGGAAAGGTTTGCTGCATTGGAGAACGTTGCGATGACACACCAGGTCACCAAAGACAAGACTCTGCCGCACTTCCAAGCAAGGTTGCTCAGCGGCACCCACGCGGGGAAGATTCTCGGCATCACTTTGGAAGCGAGTTTATCTCGTGGTCGGGTTTATTGTGCCCCCAAGCAATCGACCAGGGGGTCTTGCGCTGCCAGCTACAACCCGGACATCCAAAGCCGCGAGATCAATGAATCCATCAAGCGTGGAGCACAGCTGCCACCCAAAGAAAGGAGCCAAGCGCAGGCATATTACATATGCTGGTGCTGGGGCAAGGAGGCCGATGATGCTTTAAACTCCGCGAAGAGACGGAGAGTGGCCTAGCTGTGCGGGGGCTTCAGCACAATGCTGCAGAGACTTCAGACCACTAGATAATCCCACAAAGTATGAGGACACAAACGTGCCAGCCTTTGCAGCATGCGTGTTTCGAGCAGTGTGATGCGCTTTCACGGAAAAGAAGGGTGCCTTTTCCTAAGACAAGCTGAAGCAAACCCCGCCCCGAAGCAGAGCCATCTATCGAAGCACGAGGGCAGTTGAAGCAGAATGACAAACCCTTAACCCCTAAACCCCTCATCTCCTAAACCCTAAACCCAAAAAGCCTTAAACCCCTAACATAAACCCTAAACCCCTAATCCCTTAAACTCCTAAACCCAAAAAGCATTAAATCCTGCTCAGCCGACGAGCCCTTCGGGGCCTCCTGGTCGGCTGACTGCAAGCACGTCGCGATGGTTCAGAACTCCGAGCAGACCAAGGCCCAGAGGGTGTAGGGTTTAGGGGTTTAGGGGTTTAGGGTTTAGGGCTTTAGGGTTTAGGGTTTAGGGTGCCCAGAGCATCTTTTAAGGAATAGGCCGTGAATTATGGGGGCGGGGGAGGGGGCTAAAATATCGAGCCCGATAAGCTTCCATTAATTAAGGAATGGCATATGAGAATATAGGGGGCCTTAATATAAAAAGTTAAGAGCCCAATAATCTTTAATCAAGGGATACAGCATGACTTGTAGGGGACTTCAAATATGGATTTAAGGCATCCACGCGGCAAGGGAAGCGACATAGACTGAAGGGTTTTGGGTTTTAGGGTTCAGGGTTTAGGGTCCCGGGTTGCTTAACGGAAGGAACCCTAATCGAAAGCTTCAGAGAACCCGCAAAGCAACCCGAATAGAGCCCTTACTGAATCCTTCAGGCTCAGGATGTAGAGATGCTTAGGGTTTAGGGTTGGTGGATGCTCCGGGTTTGAGGCTTATTCTTTTCGGATGGCTTCAGTTTTGGCTTGGGGCAGTAGGGTTTAGGGTTTAGGGTTCCCTAAACCCTAAACCCTAAACCCGTTTAGGAATGAAGAGGTGTAAGTTGCAGAGTAGCCGTAGGCTTAGCAAAGGTTGCGCCGAGCCTGCCCTGGCACAACCCAGAGAACCCAATGCCCCTTAAATAAGGAATAGACCTTAAATTATAGGGGCCTTAATGGTTAAGGTATATTCCTTCAGATTTAAGGTATATTCCTTAATAGTATGATTT